CTACTCCATATCTTCTCTTTCGCGGTTCCCGCCAACAACGCAACCGAGGTCACCCCTTATCCCTTTTTTTTTTTCTTTTTTTTTTGGCGGCGTCCACTCCCCAACAACGTCGGGAACCAGCTGCAGACTGGTTCGACAAGGATTGCTCAAAGGTACTTGCGGTTTGAGGTTTGTACCGAGAGGCTTAATTCGGGGTTTAATCCAAAGGGTATGTGAAGTCGCAATCACAAGCCCATGCTGGTCGACCAGGTGCTTTGGCCAAACTTGCCCAAGGGGACACCTGGTCGCGGCACGACTAAGTTGTGTCCAAATCAAACCTTATGTTTGAATTTTGTGTTGTTTATGATGTATAAATGGGTTTTGAAGTGGCCTGAAGGTGTTTGAGGTAATTTAATGTTTATTTTCAAATTTTCAAGATGACTCTCAATCAATAGTTGCTCAATTTGTAATTTTGTGTAACATTTTTTTTTTTTTTAAATGATTATGATTACGATTGTCGTAGTTTTTAATGTATGATGCTAAGCCTCAACGCACGCGGCTATTATCAAAACCTTGCTCAATTATGCAAGTTCGTTTCCCGCTTTGCACCCGCGCGCCAACTTTTCGCTCGCCCCTCGCCTACATACATCTCTTCGTTTTCCTTCCCACCCTCCTATCCCCTAACCCTTCGTCTTGTAGCGCAATTGATTGGACGTCGGTCGAGTTGGTCAGATCAAGCCATAAGAGGAAACTTACACATGCCGCTTGAATGACCACCTCGATCGTGCAGTTTTTTAATATTGTCCCACCTTCTCAATCGTTTGGAACTTTTCTTTTTTCTTTCCTCCTCATCTACCACCCTCTGATACCCCCCATTACTAGATGTTGGTGCCCCGCCGCCTTCCACACTATAAATCCGCACAATCCTTTCATTTCCTCCTTTTTGATCTCGGCTGCAATGTTGTGCGAGCTATGCGCGAAGGCCGAGGGGCCGAATAGGTTGGACATGCCCAAGAACGGGCGGAGTGACAACGTTGGGCAAGCTTAGCGGTAGTTTCAGTGGTACTCGGAGAGACAAAGCGGTGGTGGGGCCGAAGGTGTGGCCAGTTGTAGGGCCTCGTGGCTATGCTGACGCAGCCTTGGTTGCGCACGTGGAGTGCCAACATTATTGTTGTTTGAGCCGGGTTACGAGGAAATTTTGCTTTTTCTCCACGTGCTTTGTTTGAGTGTTTATGTGTACCAAAAAACTAGGTGAATCAATTGAGTCGTGTAGACGACCTTGGTTGTGAGTGTCGAATGGTTGTATGATGCTTTGCTGCCAAAAAGTCTATGAATGTATGAAGTGAATGTTCAATTCGATGGGTGTTGATGGGTTGCTTTTCACTCTCGTTGATTAGATGGATCTCAACTGTTTATGTGGATGGATGAGTGTGTTGACACCCCTTTTGTTTGGACTAAGGCAAGGTTACCCACACCGGCCCGCGAGTGCGAGCACGTCAACTTTCCCCCCTTCACTAATCTCGTTCCTCTCGCTTGCATACGTGGAGCGGTGCACCTATTTAATCACTTGGTACGCAAGTTTGGTATGAAGTCGAGTCATATTGCCCGATTTCCTTCGCACAAACCGTCACCATTTTTATGAAGCAATCATTTTATTTTGGATTGTTGCCATTATTGTCTTTCCTCGCGCTGCGTTTGAGCGTATGGGCAGGGACTGAGGTCGGAACGAGAATTGCATGGAGTTGCAGTCTGAGCGTAAGTACGGGTAATTGCGTGTGCTCTCATCTTAGGTTGACCTGCCATAGCGGCCTCCCCACCCGACATTTCCGATCTCCAAGGAAGATGGGGTCTACTGCGACGCGGTTGTAAGGCGGATGTTATTGTGGACGGATCGCGTTCACCTCTATAACCCGTCGAAAGCTTGCCACATTGGCGGGGAGGGATTCGTACGGATTGATCGATTCTCCTCTCCCTAGATGCACTAGCGGTTAATGGAATGCCCAAAATTCGGGGTTTTTCGCCACATAAAAATTCGTCGAATTTTGGGCCTTCCATTAACGGCTTCTCCCGAAGGTTATCCACTGATGGTGTACCCACCTACTTCTGACTTCTAGGGTGAAATTTTTAGAACGCCGTTGAAGGTGGTAACCCACTGAAGGTGTGTAGTCCCACATGAACACTCTAGTCTTGCTAGCACCACTGTAGTGGGTTGGTTCGGAGCTCAACCAGACTATGAGATGGGTGTTGGTGAATGAAGGTGCGTCGCTATGTCCCTGAATTATTTTCTTGAACAATAATTTGCCTAAAGGGGTTTAGTGCTGTCAGTTCAATCAGTTGTCCTGTCAGGTGCAACTGTGATTTGCCTGAGGTTAAACTTGTTGTTTCTGCAATCTCACCCTTTTCGTTTTCCCATTTAGGAACGAAGGCTTCTTTTCCCAGTCTCCATCCCGACCGACTCTCAACCCCATAAAAAGCAACACTACACCAACCAGCCAACCAGCCGACCAGCCAACCAGCCCGCTTAGCGAACTGGGTAATGCTCCCATTATTGTTTTTTTTGTTTTTTTTTGTTTTTTTTAATTTGGACCATTTCTCGATTTATGCGTGTCATCCTTGTGCAGGGGATGTCCCGAAGGACAACTCCCAGTATATCCACCATGGGCATGGTCCCACTAGCGAAGAGGATTGAATCTGGACGTGTTTGTGGAGACAAGCAGAAATCGCGATTGATCGGCTTTATTGGGGTGTCTGCTACTGGTAGCTGGACCTTGCGGCGGGGACGTTTGTGACCTCGCTGGCCCCAGCAGGTTTGATAATGAATTTTGAATTTCTCTTTATCTATCTGTCTCTCTCTCTCTTCTAGGCACAGCGATTGGCCATTCAAATGATGCTCGGTCCCTCTGCTACCGGCTGTCCCCTGGCCGGTGTCACCCGTTGGGGGTTCCCTGAAGGCAATCAAGGCCACCCTGGGCTGAAAAGGCC